CCTTCCTTCCTTCCTTCCTTCCTTCCTTCCTTCCTTCCTTCCTTCCTCCCTCCCTCCCTCCCTCCCTCCCTCCCTCCCTCCCTCCCTCCCTTTCTACCCCACACCACCCCATCCTATACAGACCATTTCAGACACTTCATGCAAGCCTTTGACATTTTCCTGGGGGAAAAGAAAAACCCCGCCTTCCATCCGAAAGAAGGTCCATTTCTGATTTGCACCCTATCCAAAAGGCGGCATTAAACCTAGTCCGCCCCCCTCCCACCCTTTCTTTGAATCCCTTGAGAGTCTCCCCCTTTTGAGACCCCCTGGATATCCGGCACCACAACCGCCTTTAAAAAAATAAAAGCCCAGCTTCCAAGTCTTTGGGTGATGCAAAGCTGTGAAGGAGCCACAGAATAAATCCCCCTCTTCTTTTCCAAGGGGCTCCCAGGGGATCCTCCACCCATCTCAGCCTTCCAAGGAGAGTCTTCTGGAAGCGGCCAAGGCCTCCAATGGGGGCCCTTTCCGAGAAGACAAAGTGGAAGACGTCAAAGCTTTGGCCAAAATCATCCCCGTCTTTTTGGCTCTCATACCATACTGGACAGTCTACTTCCAGGTGAGGAAGGATGGACCCTGGTTCCGTTTGCATTTATTTTCCAGGCCGGGATTCAACCTTTTGTTTTTACTCGCGGTTCTGTTGGGCATGGCTTGGTGGGCGCGACAGGGGAACGATACCGCAAAATCTCAATTCTGACCCTACTCCAGGGGGGAAGGAAGGTTGCTGTAAAATCCCCCTTCCCTCCCCACCCCACTAACCTGCTTTCCAGCTCCGTTCTCCTGTGCAGGGCAACCCAAGGAGACCCAGCCGATCAGCTGGGACTCAACGGGAGGCAGAGAAGAGATGAGAGCGGGGCCAGTCAGAGGTGGGATTTACTGGTTCTCCAAATTTCTGCTACCGGTTCTCCAGAACTGGTCAGAACCGGCTGAATACCACCTCTGGCACAACCTATATGCAAACTGGTAGGGAAGGTGCAGCAAATTAGATATTAGCCTGATCTACATGTCTTCACTTTCCAAACAAGTTAAAGTTTCTAGTCTTCATGCATAGAAAGAAAGCTTGAGAAGGTGCCTGAGCAAAGCCAGAGGCATAAAGAAGAATTTTCTGTCCATAACTGCTGTTGGGTTGTTGTTGTTTTTTTGCAAAAACTGAGTTAACCAAGTGATTGATCTAATCCAGGGGTCGCCAACCTTTTGGACCTCAGGGACCACCAAACTCATAATTCTAGATCCCAGGGGCCACTAACCAGTTCTATGTGCGCGGCTTAAATTGTGGGTGTGGCTTGGTGGTCATGTGACTGGCTGGGCGTGGTTTGTATGTAAATATTATAAATATTTATATAAATATTGATTTTTTTTGTGTGTAAAAAAAAAAGAGCAACTTTTACCCAAGATCGGGCAAAGCAGGCAGATTGAGTTGCAAACTCTGCCCACTGCAAGCAGTTTGATTCTGAACCAGCTTGTTGACTCAGCCTTCCATCCTTCCACGTTGGGTCAAACGAGGACCCAGATTGTTGGGGGCAAGAGGCTGACTCTGTAAACCGCTTAGAGAGGGCTGGAAAGCACTATGAAGCGGTATATAAATCTAAGGGCTATTGCTGTTGCCACGAGCTGGTTGGTCAGGCTTCTGAGCCATTGACAAAGAAGGGTTCTGAGCCATTGACAAAGAAGGGTTGAACCTTCTGGGTTTTGTACACTGCTGAACAACAAATCCTCTTGACTTCACAGATGCAGACCACTTACGTCCTCCAGAGCCTCCACCTGAGAATTCCACAGTTTTCTAACAGCACCTCAAACGGCACCACAAACGCCCACACGGTGAGCCACAAAGCGAAAACAGGACAACAGAGTTGGAAGGGATCTTGGAGATCTTCTAGTCCAGCCCTCTACTCAAGCAGGAGACTCCTTAGATCAGGGCTGTTAAACTCCTGGCCTGGTGTGTGTGTGTGTGTGTCATGCACTGGCCACATGCACGCCTGGCTTAGCGAAGGGGGGAAAAGTCCCAAATATGTCACAGGGTGACACCGTGAGTTTGACACACCCCTGCCAAATGATTGTCCAATCTCTTCTTGAAAAACTCCAGGGATGGAGCACCTGCCAGCCTTACCTTATACCATCATTTTCCTTTGTAAACCAATGTTTACAACAAACTATATCCACGCACACACAGTCTTCCAGAGATGTCATGCCCCTGGTGGAATCTGATTCCAAGGGGGAGGTCGACCAGCTGACAGGGAGTGGGAGTGTGGCTCTGGTGGGTGTGGAGGAAACTGGGGAAGGGCACAATCCGACTGGGCCTTCAGAGGAAGACCCAGGCCCACCCTCTCTTCATCCTAGGGCATGCCGAGAGGAACAGAGAAGGGAGCAACATGGCTTATGGGAGAGAAAAGGGCCCTGATCCCTTTCATTAGTTACGGCTGGGAAAACAGGATTTTAAAAGGGCGTTTGCGCACTTTGGAAGCAAAGTGTGAATTATCTTTGTCAAGTCTTACCTGGGTTGCGGAGTCCTCCCAACTGTATGCATTTCGTTATCTTTTGAAGTCTGCAATTCCTCATCCTGCCCTGCCTTGTTAATTGCTGCAGCTGTGGTTTGTATTGGTTTTTATTTATAATCTATATGTACTTTGGGTTCGGATGGAATTTCTTCCCTTTAAAAACTCTTCCTGGGAGAGGTTTTTCTCCAGCTGAGGATAACTGGACATTGTGGGCCAAGTTGGAGGAATTAAAGGGACTTTACCTACTTTTGTGACTTCGTTGCTTTTGTGCCACGCACCTTTGGGTCATCACAGAGATTAACAGAGTTGGAAGGGACCTTGTAGGTCATCTAGTCCAACCCCCTGCCCAAGCAGGAGACCGTACACCATTTCTGACCAATGGCAGTCCAGTCTCTTCTTGAAAGCTTCCAGGGATGAAGGCAACTTCCAGGGATGAAGGCAACATCACTTCTGAAGGCAACTTCTGTTCTATTGCTTGACTGTTCTCCCTGTCAGAAAAATTCTCCATACTCGTGTCTTGGCCATTTCAACATTCCTGGTGTGTTTTATCCAGCATGAATATTTCATCGTTCGAGTCATCATGTTTTTTTGGGGGGTGGCGGGTCGGGGGGGAACCCATCAGAGATCCTGCTGAGACTTTCCCCCCGTTTAATTGAGACTTTTCACCCTTCGCCTCTTGAACTTTTCCGGCGATTACAGAGGAGGGAGTCACTTTCTGCAAGCGGCTAAGGGTATCTTGGTTTGACCCGGGTCAAAATCTTGCAAGGTGGAAATTTTAATGAAGAGCAGGCCATCCGCAGAAGATCTTGAAAACACGGAGAGAGGACGAGGGCTCGGTGTTTGTGTAAATAATGATTTTAGGGATGATTTCTTGCTGTGCAGATCCTGTGTGCTGATGGTTTAACCTCTGATCCCTCCTGAAAATCTCACTCTTTCGCTGCTGGTGGGTTGATGAAGACAGATCCTTAATGAGCTGTTTCTGCGTGTCAGAAAGGGAGGGGGGATTTTAATTTCTCTGCCGACAGGATTTTGTTTTTCACTTCTGAGAAGTTGGCTGGCTGGTGCCAAAGATTTAGCAGATGTTCGTTCTCCAAAGCCAGAAAGCCATAGGGGTAAAGGCGAAGTAGAACAACTTGCCTGCAGAAGTTGTGGGTGCTCCAACGCGGGAGGTTTTTGAAGAAGGGATTGGACGGCCATTTGTCTGAAATGCCATTTCATGTTTCCTGCCTGTGCTGGGGGTTGGACTAGAAGACCTCCAAGGTACCTTCCAAGTCTGCTATTCTCTTATTCTGTAAATAAAGCTGCGGTGGCACAGTGTTTAGAGTGCAGTACTGCAGGCTACTTCTGCTGATTGCTGGCTGACATCCTTCCGAGGTGGGTAAAATGAGGACCCAGATTGTTGGGGGCAATAGGATGACTCTATAAACTGCTTAGAGAGGGCTATGAAGCACTGTGAAGCAGTATATAAGTCTAAGTGCTATTGCCCTTCCTTGTTGCACAGTGGTTAGAATGCAGTACTGCCGGCTACTTCTGCTGAGTGCTGGCTGACTGCAATTTGGCAGTTCGAATCCCATCAGGCTCCAGGTTGACTCAGCCTTCCATCCTTCCAAGGTCGGTAAAATGAGGACCCAGATTGTTGGGGGCAAGAGGCGGACTCTGTAAACCGCTGAGAGAAGGCTGGAAAGCGCTGTGCAGCAGTATATAAGTTTAATTGCTATTGCTACAGTAGGTTCTGCGCTCTCACACACATTAATCATTGCTGACATGGCGTTGAGGTTCCTCACCAAGCAACATGGTGGCTATTTGCACAGAACAGAGTTCCCGTGGTGAGGACTAGAAGGCTGAGTTGGGGGATGCTGCCTTCACCGTTGTTTCCCCACCCCAGTTCTTAACAGGCTAACAGAGTGGGAAGGGACTTCATACGTCATCTAGTCCCACCCCCTGCCCAAGCAGGAGACCCTACCCCATTTCTGACAGATGGTAATCCAGTCTCTTCTTGAAAGCATCCAGTGATGAAGCTCCCACAACTTCCGAAGGCGACTTCTGTTCCATTGGTTGATCGTTTCCACCGTCAGAAAATATCTCCTTATTTATAGGTTGAATCTCTCCTAGTTCAGTTTCCATCCATTGTTCCTTGTCTGGCCTTTGGGTGCTTTGGAAAATAGCTTGACCCCCTCCACCTCTCTGGGGCAGCCCCTCAAATATTGGAAGACTGCTCTCCTGTCTCCCCTGGTCCTTCTCTTCCCTAGACCAGCCTTGCCCAGTTCCTGCAACTGTATGTTTTAGCCTCCAGGCCTTTGATCATCTTAGATAGATTCATATTAACAGAGTTGGAAGGGAACTTGTAGGTCATCTAGTCCAACCCGCCGATGAAGCAGGAGACCCTACACCATTTCTGATCGATGGCAGCCGAGTTTCTTCTTGAAAGCCTTCAGTGTTGAAGCTCTCATGACTTCTGAAGGCAACTTCTGTTCCGTGGGTTGGTTGTTCTCAATGTCAGAAAATTCCTTATTTCCAGGTTGAATCTCTCCTTGGTCAGTTTCCATCCATTATTCCTTGTCTGGCCTTCAGGTGCTTTGGAGAATAGCTTGACCCCTTCCTCCTCCTCTCTGTGGCAGCCCCTCAGATATTGGAAGACTGCTCTCCTGTCTCCCCTGGTCCTTCTCTTCCCTAGACTAGCCAGGCCCAGTTCCTGCAACCGTTCATCGTATGTTTCAGCCTCCAGTCCCCTAATCACCCTGGTTGCTCTTCTCTGCACTCTTTCTAGAGTCTCAGCATATATATTTTTTTATATATTTTATAGTTTCCCGCAGCTTGGCTGACCATGTTTGATGCTGTCCTCATCCTTATCCTCATCCCCTTGAAAGACAAAGTGGTGGACCCCATGTTGAAGAGGAAGGGGCTCCTTCCTTCCTCGCTGAAGAGAATCGCCTTTGGGATGTTCTTCGTCATGTGTTCTGCGTTCGCTGCAGGTGAGGCACAGGATTTTGGGTTATGGAGTGCCGCCACTGGATCCTACAGGCCATCGATAGGGTGTCATGATCGACATCTCCACTCAGAAACGAGACTTTTGCCATTGGATTGCTAGGGTTGCTCTAATGAATGACTTTAGCTATTAGATTTGTTCTCATATAACGGCTGGCAAATGGGGCATTAAGTGAAGCGGTCGTTAAGTGAAACTGAGGCCACATATAGAGCTTTCCTTTGCTTTACAGACCTGCAAAGCTCATCCATACATCTTTTACTATTTGTAAAATGACTTTTTCCATCACTGTTGTAACTTTGTGCGGTTGCAAAACAAGGCTGTCACTAAATGGGAATGACCTGCCATTGGAGAACACTTTGTTTCAACCAAACAAAAGTTCCAGTGATCCTGAAATCTTCACCACTGCAATCCACCAATTGCAATTTTACTGGCCAGATGCCCTCCCTATTGCCAGTGCAGAGTTATATTCAGCAGCTAGATTCTTATCGTGCCCAGAGGGAGAAATATCTGCCTCTACCTGGGATCAAACTAGCCTATTTATCTTATCTATCATCCACACATCCACCCATCTATCTCTTATCTATCTATCTATCTATCTATCTATCTATCTATCTATCTATCTATCTATTTACCTCTCTGTCTGTCTGTCTATCATCATCCTCTTTTAACAACCCCAAAATCCCTTGCGGGGTGAAGTCTGGGCAACTGAATGGAGCTGAGTGTTTACTGGCCGGATGCCCTCCCTATTGCCAATGCAGAGTTATATTCAGCAGATAAATTCTCATTGTGCCCAGAGGGAGAAATATCTGCCTCCTACCTAGGATTGAACTCACAGCCTCCTGATTGTGAGGCAAGAGCTCCACCTCTAGGCCACCACACACCACCCTTTTGGGGGTGGGGGGTGGGGTCCCTGTTACAGGGCGCTAAACCCCTCGTAATTCTCTTTCGGATGGCTCGGATGAGACTTGCACGCTTGATCCTAAACAGGGTCACCCGTCAGGGCAAGCGCCGTGGGTAGGTTGCAAACGTTGCGATCCAAAGCGCAATGCTTTGCAGACGCGTGCGCGAGCTCAGGAAACAACGTGGCGGAAATGCGCAGGTGGAACGATCCGACGGGGTGTTGCCGATTGCGAGTCATTTCCTGTGCGTTTTTCCCTTCCTAGGAATATTGGAAAGCGACCGGCTGAGGAGGGTGAAGACCAAGACGATCGATCAGAAGATTGGGACGGCCGTCTACCACGCGGCCGACATGTCCGTCTGGTGGCAGGTCCCTCAGTATATTCTGATCGGAATCAGCGAGATCCTAGCCAGCATTGCAGGTGGGTTCGCCGCGTCGCGAGGGAGACAGGAAAACAGGCCCCGTTTAAGCCTCTTCGTTTGGTCTTATCGTTCCTTAGCCTAGAAGACACGGGATTGCGAATCTCAATCCTTGGAGAATCTGAGCAGAAAATCCAGGGCCCATTGGCTCGATCCTGAGCTATTGTTGGTTTAGATAGTTTCCACTGAGTAACCAAATTGGCTGCTGCGGCCCCCTCTTCCTCCCCCTCCCGCTCCTCCTCCTCTTCCTCCTTTTTTTCACAAACCTCACTCTCTTCTAGCACTGATGATGTTCCCCAGTTGGGTCATGAAATGTCTGCAAGAAAACAAACCAGCTCAGTGAGCACTAAGACCTCACAGGTGGTCATCATCTCCTCCTCCTCCTCCTCCTCCTCCTCTTTTCCACAAACCCCACTCCATTCTAGCACTTGATGATGTTCCCCAGTTGGGTCATGAAATGTCTGCAAGAAAACAACCAAATTCAGAAAACATCAAGGACCCCACAGTTTTCCTCCTCCTCCTCCTCCTCCTCCTCCTCCTTTTTTCCACAAACCTCACTTCCTTCTAGTATTGATGACGTTCTCCAGTTGGGTCTGCAAGAAAACCGCAAACCTCAGAGAGCCCCTGAGTGATCCTTCGTACACTTATTTACATTTATTTATAGTTAATTTCAGATTTCCAGTCTCCTGTGGGTTTGGGGCCCATAAAACCCCAGGTCTAAGGTGTCAATGCAAACTACTTACAAACTACTATTGGCCCAAGCCAGGATTTAACTCAAGGGAAGCAGTCTGGTTGTTGGACGGTCTCTAGGCTGTTCTTGGTGGGTTTTTAGAAAATTCCTGGTCCAACAAGGATGTTGGGGGGCCCCCTTTCCTGGTGCATAACTATCCAGGCTGATAACCGGCGGTTGATTTTCTTTCTCTCTCTATTCCTCTCCTCCCTCCCAACTTTCCTGGGTGCAACCTGCAAATGGGAGGTATGTGCGTGGCCATAAAATCTCATTTTCTGCTCCGTTTCACACACATTTTGGGTTCATTAGGAGGAAAAAAAAAAAAAAAGCTGCCAGCCTCTTACTGTTTCGCGGAGCCCTCATTCCGCCTCGTCTTCTAATTAAATCAGAGCCGCGTTCTCACCGTGGGAGCCCAACCAGTTCTGATAAGTTTGGTTTCTCTGGGGTCCTTTTTGCTAGCAGAGACAAACTCGCCTCCAAGTTTTACGGGCGTGAGTTGGGCGCTTTTGAGTCTAGAAGCCAAATGTAAACCGAGGAGCACCTGGGAGAAAGATGCCAGATGAAGGCCCGGTGAAGACTAGTTCCAACATTCAGAAGGACAGTTTGCTCTAGTGGTGAAGCCGCCAGGCTAGAAAACGGGAGTCTGTGAATTCTAGTTCCGCCTTAGGCATAAAAGCTGGCTGAGGGCCAATCACCAGGAGATGGCGAGTTCTAGTTCTGTCATAGGCATGAAAGCCAGCTGGATGACTTTGGGGCAATGACCAGAAGACTGGAAGTTCTGGTCCCATCTTAGGTATGAAAGCCAGTTGGATGACTGGGCAAATCATGAGGAGACCGGGAGTTCTAGTCCTGCCTTAGGCATGAAAGCTGGCTGGGTGATTGTGGCCCATTACTAGGAGACTGGGAATTCTAACCCCACTTTAGGCATGAAAGCCAGCTGGGTGACTTTGGGCCAATCACCAGGAGACTGGGAGTTCTAGTCCCGCCTTAGGCATGAAAGCCAGCTG